CATGATTTACCACCACCTGGTTGTTCCCTCCGATATCAACTTATATGGCGTGCTCATTTCAATTAGTGCTTCTACGGAAACCTTTTCAATATGAACATTATTTAGGTGAAGATTAAGCAACTGTGTGGGGCCTTATTAGAGCAGTACACCTTTTCCAAACTGTAGTTGGGGTTGTTAATAGGAATATTCACATTACAGACCGTTATTCGCCTTATTTGAATTTTCGAAAATAAAATTCTGCTATGTAATTTGAATATTTGAATTTGCCATTTCCTTTTCCCAGTGAAGTACAATCATTTATGAATGTATAGCGTGAAGTTAATAATGGTTGTCGGTGGTCTGTAAATGTGAAATCGTGGTCGGTGAAGTGTCTGATTGAAAACGGTGGTGTATGATTGAAAACTGTGATTATTCATATGGATATAATCGGAAACTAACCAGTCCTACTATCCTAGCGAGTCACGATGACAATTAAAAGGTTCTAAAGAAAGTACTTTCGATTTCTGCTTTTAAAGTCTTGCCGTTCGTCTCAAAAGGTGACCTATGAATTATTTGGAGAGGGAGGTGATATATCGGTAGGTAGTGTTGCTGCCTCACGTATGATCTAAGAATCGAAACTTGCTGGATTCGTAGCTCGGCAAGACGGTTTGGTACGGAATTCGCTGGAAATTGTGAGAATTGAATAACCTGGCTTGTGTATGAAGTTGTGTTGGCTGAATATCCATCCAACTGCTACCATAACTCCTGGTCAGAGGCATACCGATGATGGATACTTCTTTGGTCTTTTTCAACGCACTTCCTATTTATTCCGATCTTGAAATTTGGATTATTTGAGTCCTAACTTATAGTAGATTACCTTGTTTGAGACAGAGCCAATTGAGAAAGAAGAGCATTGAAATGTTTCGAACCGGAAGAAGAAGAAAAAGGTTTCCTAGCGTTGCTCTTCACGTCTATAGTAGAGATGGCGAGATGTGATCAAGATGGACCTCGCCGAAGCTAAGGTGACGGCAGAAGATGTCGTAGATAGAATGAAATGGATACGGCTGACAAGAACAGCGGGCCGTGCCACGGCGCGAGATTAAAGCTAGGGGGAAGAAAAAGAAGAAGAAGCCCTTCACATCTATTATGCCCTGCCGTCTGAGCGAACTTTCCACTCCATCAATTTGTATATCTCGCAACAATTGTGAAAGCCTGGATGCAAACTGTGATCTTAATTCATGTTGCATTGGAATTACTGCATGCAGATCGTATAAAAATCAGCTGAAAGACGTAGAAGGTATACGGTAGTATCGTTCTTATCAGTTGGTGCACTGGAACGGCTGATTGAGTTTGCAGTTCGAACTGCTGGTTTTGAAGAGGAGGTTGTAGGTGTCAGAAAAAACTGACCTGGAATTGCTTACCAGGCAGTACGTAGACAATTCTCTGGAATTTTCTGTCGTTCTCATTGACAGGGAAAGGGATCATTTACTCAAAGAGAAGATTTATTTAAGGGAAAGGGAAATCAGAAGAAGCAGGGAATCTTCACAAAGGGAAATCCCAAACATGTGAGGTCAAGGAGTTGTAATGTCGTTTTCTGTAGGAGGAGTAATAGAAAGGACACACTTAAAATGATTCTTCACCACTTCTCAACGTTCAAAGGTTTTTCATGTGGTTTGGTACAGTATTTTGCTGCTGCTCTAAGGTTTTTTTGGAGGTGGCTCAATCAGAATCGCCAACAACATCCAGGAAGTAGCTCGTTTTAGTAGTCACTGCCACCTTTTCGGGAATTTCTTCATCGGAATTGATCAGACAGGAGAGCCTAAGTTCTGTCAGGGCCACTGATGCCTATCTTTGACGTGTACGGGTTGTTCGCTAGCCATAATCAGTTCGGAAAATCTATTGCTAAGTCATCTCAATTTGTTCGTTCACATCGCTAGTCAGTCATGCATCAAATTTTTATCGACAGCAAACTTAAATGAATTACATGTCACCAGAACATCGCAAATTCCTATCGAAAGACTCCCGATTGCTCTAACTTGAACATCACACCATGTTTGGGGCAGTATACCGTGGAGAAACATGTCGTCAGTCGTACCACTTACTCTAGTTGAAGACTTTTCAGTAGCCTCATGTAGCTATTGTAGCTCTGCGTCGAAGTTCAAAGAGCAAACTAGGACTGCTCCTCGGTGCTATACTACCGAGACTGGAGATGTTCTCTCCCATTGAGAAACTCTGATGAAGCCGTATTCAAATCCGTCACATGCTTCAGTAACCAATCGTTTCCACAATTTCATCAATCTTAGTCATCTATCTTGTTCCCGGACAACTCGATGTTTTAGTGGGCTATACTCGATTGCTAGAGTAGCGTAGGAGCAATCGCTCAATTTGTCCTCGCCGAGCAAGATGACTAGTGTTTCATATGAATGCATAATGTCGTCTCAATTCGTCCGTTCAGGTAACTTCTACATAAAGGAGAAAAATAGTCTTTCCTGAAGTTTATCAATCCCGTCCGTAGATTGCGCCTTTGCATTCATCTTCCATTGAGAATTGTAGTGGTGTTTTGAATGCCTGTGTGGTCTGTACAATATCCTTCGGTAAGTAATTCTGGTATCAATTACCCAAATCGGAAGGATGGCAAGTTTACGCCGTCCGTGTGAAAATACACCACTTAGCACTCCACCAGCTCCGCCCTCACTTTCTACAAATCACTCGAAGGAACAATCCGGCCCTTAGGCCAAACACTCACTCATTCGTCTTCAATACCAATCACTTTGATTTCCGTTGCATGGCTCGCTCTGAAATTCTTTATGAAGACAGTCCACCCTCATCTACCCGATTATACGATGCAGAATGGAATTGGGAACGAACGGTTCGGAACTCGGGACCGCAAAAACATTTATTGGTAAATGCAGAATCAATTTATAGACAGAAAATATACTGAAAAAAATACTGTAATTAGCGGTATCACACAAATACGGGAGCCTTCAGCGTGGCTGGATCGCGACATTGAGTCGAATCGAGTCGTGTGATCTGCGGAAGCAGTCTGATCGCTTTTGCCCTGAATAAGGAACCTATCCAGCATCTGAGGAGCATATTTGTGTCTACTTCCACAGTACCTGTAATCTTGTGCCTCAGAAAATGGGTTATTTTCCAGGTAGACGAGATTCAACTGAGGTAGCTCAACCAATTCATCAAATACCTGCCAGTCTTCTAGCTACAAGATGTAATACATCAGAGATCACGCACAGAAATTGTCCGGACCTTCCAGCTAATNAAAATACTGTAATTAGCGGTATCACACAAATACGGGAGCCTTCAGCGTGGCTGGATCGCGACATTGAGTCGAATCGAGTCGTGTGATCTGCGGAAGCAGTCTGATCGCTTTTGCCCTGAATAAGGAACCTATCCAGCATCTGAGGAGCATATTTGTGTCTACTTCCACAGTACCTGTAATCTTGTGCCTCAGAAAATGGGTTATTTTCCAGGTAGACGAGATTCAACTGAGGTAGCTCAACCAATTCATCAAATACCTGCCAGTCTTCTAGCTACAAGATGTAATACATCAGAGATCACGCACAGAAATTGTCCGGACCTTCCAACTAATGTGTATCCTAACTATGTAGCTTCAAGAAGGGTTTGGTGAAAGCTTAACAACGCCTTGAAATTACCAAAAGAATCGGTCTAGTCTTTAAGACCTCATTATCTGATTGAATGAGAGGGTTTCCCGCTGATTGTGGTCGCAGTTCCGGGAAGCTGTTAAGCAATAAGAATCCTATAACATAGGCGCTTCAAGACAGCTCATCAAATGCTTCAGGGGAAGGTCCCAGCTGAAGACGACTCTCCCCTCTGCCATTCTACCAATCCCGCACCGGTTACATCCACCATTCCCGAAGAGTACCAACTCATTCTGATTCCATTCCATCACACCATGAGAACTGGAGAGAGAGATCCATATTACCAGGTAAGACACTAGGCTCTTACACTTGCCTTGTTATGCTTTGCCCAAAAGTCAGTGAGCTTTTTGAAATGTCGAATGCCTTCAACTTTATGCAGACGATTGTAGTTAAAATCGAGGATTTCCAGATTTTGCAGATTCTCTAGTCCAGATGTGGACTGGATTCCATTTTGAGCGAGGTAGATCTCTCGAAGAGTAGACAACATGGAGACGCCCTGAATATAAGTTTTATAACAGTAACAGGTAAGAATTTTTGTTAGAAGCCATGTTAATTATTTATTTTCTTTGAGTAGAAAATTCGATGTATATGTATGTATATGTATGTATTGGAATTCAGTGCGTGAATCCCTCCTCTACCCTAGATTGATTTGATAATGATGAAACAAGTCTGAAAATAGAAGGCTAAGGCATAAACGGGATTTAATCTGTGTGCAACGTGAGCGTAACGACGCCCCTTGCCACTGCTCGATTGCTGTCATGGGAAATACGGCACTGTCACTCGGGAATCCTTTGATGCTATTCATTGGCTAAAGTGCGGATGTGGTGTAGTGGCAAGTGGCGGCAAGTGGCGCACTGTCCCACACGCACAGTCAGGGGTTCGATTCCTGGATCGATATCTGCCTGGGCCAACCAAGCCTTCCATCCCTCCAGGGTCGGTGAGTTGGTACCAGACTCGTCTAAGAGGATAAAGCACTGACTTGTACATCGGCTGGCCACCGCAAGTCATTGTATAGGCCACATACGCCCTCATTACGCCACTATGATTTTGAATGGAAGTCGAGTGCAGTGGCGCATCCATCAGACGGGATTGATTAACGCCAAAGACTTTATTTAGACTTAATCCAAGGGCTGGGACGTACAGTCTTTAGTCTGAACCCCTAATACTAGTAGAATCCGGAATTCTTAGGATGAAGACCGATTGGATCCCATCCTAACAATCTTTGAGACTGGTAGGAAGGCCAGAATAACTAAGAACTCTTGTTGAGTGGAAGTGACTTTCACAAACCGACCTCTACTACTGTGATAGCGTTAGCGGGTAGGCTTAACACTTCGATTTTCTTCAAGTGCTCGAGATTCTCAATTTTTCGAATCTGATTTGCTCCAAGGAACAAGCGAACAATGTTGACATTGGCATCGAGGTTCTCAATTCGTTTGATCCTATTGTCACCCAGCTCCAGATATTCCAAGTTGACTAGCTGAATTACTCCGGTCATTAATGGACAGAAGCAGCGAGAATTCCAACAGATGACTGGTTACCGTCTCTAGACCTTCGATTTTGGTGATTTTGTTGTGTACCAGGTACAGCGTTTTCAGATTGACGAGGTTCTCCAGGTTTTCAATTTTGCTGAGTCGATTGAATGAGAGGTCAAGTGTTTCAAGATTCACTAGTGTGGAAAGATTTTCTATTTTCTCTATCTGAAAGCTTGACTAGCTCAGAACCAGCCTTAGCTCCAACTCCAGCTCCAAACCTGATTATCGTAGAGATCCAATTCAGTCAATGTTGTGAGAGTATGCAGTCCTTCGATAGTTTTCAGCAAGTTCCATCTGAGACATAGCGTTTTGATCTAAAAAACAATAGAGCGAGGGCTTTTCCAGATGTGAGCGCACCTACCCCAATTCACCCCTTTGCAAAACCTCGGTCACCGTCATGAATTTGCTTCGTTTCTTCAGCGAGAACACGCCAAGCCAAGGACTAAGTCTGCCCCGAGGCAGCTTGAATTTTTGTGAATTTCGTTACCTCCTGGTCAGTCAAGCCCAAATACTTCTAGGCTCCACTGCGCGAACTTATATTCTATCTTTGACTTGCTCCTAGCCTACCTTTGTGAGGAATTCGAAACCTTCAATTTTTTTGAGGCGTGTACGGGTGAGATCCAAGCTCAATGTGTCTCTGTCAACCTGAAAAAAGGTCAGCTAAGTTTGAATAAGTGATGAAGACACCACTAACTCACTTCTATGACATCTTCCTCTTGCTCAGGCTCAGCAGACTCTTCCTTCCTTTCTTCGACACATTCTACCGTCGCGGACATTTTCAAATGAACCCTTCCACGCTCTTCGTGTTTGCATCAGACTGTTTATGTTTTGCTATTGCATATCAAATGTGTTTACTCGAATAGAATTGTGTTCTTTTGTTCCCACTGATTGAAGCAATAGCGGTCATCAGTTCTTGGCCTTTGGATTTACCCTTCGTAGGCTGCAGGTGAACATGGCCGTGTTAGGCATATCAACCTTTCCTCTTTCAGGACTTTGAAATACTGTTTGTAACCGGGCACCTTCCCACTTTTGGACTAGCCAACGCGTGATCTTCCTGACTTCGCTGTCAGATGCCACTTTTCTGAACGCCGCGAGAGTGAAACACTAAACATACCCTTCAATGCCTCTCTCTTCAAGCCGGCCGTCTACATCTTGGAGGTGGTCTTATCGGATACACAACTTTGGCGATTGAGAACCATTCCCTCTACGTTTGATGAAGTTTCAGCTCGCAATGGTCTCCGAGATAGCCCATCCTAGTCGGCTTCCGATTGGTACAGGCTCTCACGACATTCCGGTAGTATTTGAGGTCCTTCTCCGTGCCCTCGTCGCCTATGAATCCATATGTCCCTTGCTACGACGGCTATCACGTGAATATAGTTCGGTGGATAATAATAATTTCGATAATTTCTCCAACGATAGAGCCGTTGACTATGCAACTGCTCAGCCGGTTAACATTTGAGTCGGGCATCGCTAGAGGGCTCGGCCATCGCAGCCCATTCATATTTGCTTCACGAACGGTAGTTCACTTCTGACCAACCGCATAGCGCAATTGAGCTCGCCTTCCAGTAGGTTCGTATGCAAGACATGGCAGAAGTCTTGCAGTTGTTTAGAGTCCAATAGTCATGTGACCGAGAAACTATTTAGTAGTGCAGATGAGGCTTTCTTGCTTTCATGACGCAGATATGGGAAGCATTTCGTATTTCAGGAATCACTATGATATGGGATGGTGGATCAGCAAGAGAGGGCTGCACATTGTGTGACCTGCACCGTCATAACGGGACGTTTACGTTTTGAACAAAAATGTGGAAAACATGGAGGCTAGGTGATGTATTTATTTATAAGTCTTTCAATTGAAATGTAACAGAAATGTATCAGTTCATGGTCATTTTATAGCCGCAACAAAAGTATTGAGTGCTTGTCAGCAAAGCAATAAGTAGGATCGGTCATGCTGGACATAAGCTTCTGAAAGATGGTGCTCCAGAAACAGCACTTGTGCAGAATGAACTCGCCTTATCAACCAACTGCAGCACGCGGGGCTTGACCGTAGCGCATGACCGACCACCCTACCGAAAAATTCTACTGACAAAATGCGAAAATGTAAGAGCTCTGACAGCGCGCTGAACATCCACCTGCTAGCTCGATCCTTAACTTATTACTGCTAGAGTTCCGATGCAGCTTTGGATAACCGGCATACAATACAGAGTAGTGTGAAATTACATAACTTGTTTTCGGCCAGAAGTAGGTAACCACATTAATACACCAGATTGGAAGTTTTTTAATTAATGACAGCTTCAAATGCAGATCTCCGCGTTGTGAACCTACCGCGTTTAACCTACAATCTTAACTGTCTACTATAACATCACATAGCTGATCGCAATCGTTCAAGCCGCTTCTCAAGGCTCATTGCATCGTCTTCTTCAAGCTCACGATAGCCAACGGTATTCGATGGAACTTCAGGAAATGAGGGTACAACTTTCTCTGGCGAAGGGATGGGCTGGAAAAATGTACGATAACCTTTTTGATCCTCCTTTTAGTCAAACGACTGGGAAACAAAGAAGCATAGAAAAGTAAAAAAAATGAAATCATACCTTCTGCTTAGCCATCAGTTCATCCAGTTCCTTTTCAAGATCATCATCATCGTGTTGTTTCGGTACAATTGCATGGCTGATAGCTTCTTCGATTTCGCGATAATCATCTATTGCACTTGCGACTTCATCCATTGTCTCATCAATCTGCAATCGGGAAATATCCCCGAATTTCAAAATATTGGAACGATGTCGATTAAAAAAATAATTGCTTCGTTCCTGATTAATTCGATGATTAACTCTATGTGAAATCGAAAAGAAGCCATTCACAACAAACACAATCCCATGCACTGTTCCACGTACCTTGTCAGCGGTCATACCATGCCGAGCTAGATTGGCCTTGAAAGCAGCCGTTCCTGCCTTATATGCATCCAAGATCTCCTTGTTGTGCTGTAAGTTCAAAATTGAAAATAAAATAAACAGAGAACTAAAATTCACTGGTGAGTTACCCTTGTAGCACTGAGCTGTTGTAACATAGTCAGCAATCGCTGGTATTGAACATCCTTATCTGAAATATCTTTCTGAAATCGTTTCTTCTGTCGTAGAAGGTTTGCTGCCCTCGTCTTGTCTCTACTTCGCAAGGCTGCCCGACAATCACCATCTAGCCTAAAGGGTGAAATCTCACATGGTTATAAAAAAGTCTGGAAAACTTGAATCTGACGTACTTTTCTACTTTACGTTCCAAAGTGGATATT